GCTTCAGGTCGAATTGTGTTGTAGTTGTCCTAACATAAATATGTAAGCAAATGTACTCTAGGCAGTAAAGTTGTTAGAATGCTACCGCATTAGTGCGCTCAGTGCAACTATGCACCTCAAAAGTAACAGTTGTAAACACTAATGAGATACACACCTAAGGAGAATGTACACGTTTTGTTAATTTTTTCATGCTGTCTGCTCATGCGTGCAATATTTCTTTTGAGGATGCAGTGGGATTACTTTTGTTCAACAGCAGCGCAGATCTATTCCTCGGTTATTTTGTTGTTCAGACCACACATTTCCCTTCCCCCCAAATTCTCAGTTTGTTGAAGATTGAAGGAAAAGCGGACTAGGTGTAATGTGTTCTCATTTGTCTTGTGAGTTTCTTTTTTGTGGCTAAAAGAACATATTTTACTTCATTCTTAAAAGGGTAAAATCTACAAGTTTCTTTTGAAACTTTATCGTCATACACAGTATTTTTGAAAATGCGTCGGACGTATATTTAAACGTGTTATATTTAGTTTAGTTAATACATTTCATGGAGGAGTCACAGTACCGAATTCGGTTCGGACATCCCTCAGCCAAGACTCATTCAGGCTGCGACAGAAAGGTAGGGTGTATAAGCTAACAGACTTCTCCGTATTGTTACGACACATGTCCAATAAAATGAGGTAAAAGTAAGGTCCCTGTGCTTAACTAATTAAGCACTATGCCATGAAGGCGTATGGGGGAGTGGATGTATAAACCCACATTTTCTTGACCTCGGCACTAGTTGGAGGTGAGTGGTCATCTTCACGCACCTGCCGATTTATCCCCGGGGAAAGAGCCCCCGGTACACATTGGATATGAGGTTGAGTGGACCCCCGAGCCGGTCTAGACAACGTGGAGAAGAGGAAACTCTTGACCCTACCGAAATTTGAACTCCGACCCCTTGGCTGCTGTACCGACTGTGCTATCCCGACTCAGTAAAGTGAGGTGGGGTATTTGTAAATGACGCGTTAAGCAGATGTAGTTAAACTCGTTTAGTTTATTCTGGACAAAGAGATCACATATCGACTTAATATTTTTTTTTACATTGTCGAAGAGCTTTATGCATTGCGAGTTTTGAATAATCTGTAATACCGGTCATCTGTACCAAAATAAAAGGATTGTTAGGTGATGCAGTTTGCATTTGAAACCAAGTTTCTGTCCTCAGGCTCTTACTAATCCATTCTAAGGTATGCTGTTAATGTTGTTTTCCGCTGATTTTGAATCTATGTTCGCATATGCCTAGCCCTAGATCGCATTAAGTGGAGGAACTGTTTTGGAAGAGACTGTGGACCTGTCATCTTGACAGATTACTGATGAATGATGAATGCCTGGCCACTGGGTCTGATAATACGTAAGTTCCAGTGATCTCTCGGCCTTAAAGAGGTCATACATGATGAGATCACTACTCAGATTTCTCTCTGCAGATATCTGAGTAAAAGAACTGTACCCAGAAATGATTTTTCGTCCTACATTACGCGTATTTTGACGCAGATTTCTCTGTAGATTAATTTATTTCGGTTGTGCACGCGAACTGACACGTGTCGCAAAGTACAGAAAATGACAGCCCTTTATGAAGTAATTTATTTAACTGTTTTTATAAATAAAGGATCAAAGTGCAAAAGAAACAGCGAGTGGTCTAAACAGTGGCTATTCAGAAGTGTTCGGCCTCCTCTCATTAATTCTTTGAAAGAATTTAAGTTTTACCCAGAAGATTTGGATGATCACCTCCACGTGATTTAAACGATTTGAGTATGAGTATGAGGGGTGAGCCACAAAACTGGCCCTAGCACTGCGACCTTCAATGGTCTATTCTACTTTAAACGAGTTACTTGCATCTGTTATCTTTGGAGAGAGTGATTGTCCCACACTCTTTCATATTTCTATATTTCTTTGTAGTGCAGTCGGTATAGCGACTTTCTGCGGGCTGCACGCCAGACGGGTCGCGGTTCGAATCCTGATAGGGTCAAGAATTTTCTCGTCTTCATCCAGACTTGCTCTGGTGCCCACGCAGCTTCATATCCAATGGGTACCGAGGGCTCTTTCCCCAGGGGTAAAGCGGCCGGGCATGAAGCTGACCACTCACCTGCAACTAGAGCCCATGTCAAGAAAACGCCGATCTGTACATCCACTCCCTCATACGTCTCCATGGCGTAGTGTTTAATTAGTTAAGTACCGGGACAGCTTTACATTTGTAGACAATGCGCAAGTACAATTTCAAGATGATACGTATTATTCCAAACAGATCGATGTTTTGTCTTCGCAGACCATCCGATCGCCAGACACGCTGTGATTTGTCGGGACAGATGTGAGTAAAATTATAAGCAAGTAAGCAAATTGATCGCTACCGCGTGCCCCGAAAACATATTAATATGCTTTATTAATGTATTTACAGGGCTCATGGTAGCGTAGTTAGTTGAGGCACGATGATACAAGCCGGAAGGTCGCGGTTTCGATTCCCGATTAGGCCATTGAAGTTTTCAATTTATCTAATCCTTCTAGCTACGCTATGGCCCTGGGGNCACACTTTCTAAATTACGTTCAATGTCCATATCAGAGAAATTCAGGAATGAAAATGACGTTACATACGAGGTTGATGCATTTGTGCATGTCGTACTAAGCAAGGTATAAAAACAGTTGCTTTATGAGGAATTAGTTCGTACCATTGAATATTTGACGCAATAGACGAGGTGTCGCAGAAACCGATGTTGCTATAACCAAGTTTTACTGTAGTTATATGAAACTGTAAAATTCTGTCAGTAGAAATGTGATTATAGCGCTTCATTACTGATAAGTTTTTATGTAGAATGCAGGAAAATGTTTATGGAAGTTAATTTTATGTGACTGAATTAATTATTCTTTTCAAGATCTCACGTCCAAATATGACGACCGTAAATCCCTACGTTTGAGAAACACTGTCTTAGTCTGCCCTAAACCACAAACCTAAGGAACAATCTGGCCTAAACTTTTCCAGAACTTATGTCCACCATCCCCCAGTATAAAGGAACTTAGCCCCAGCCTGAGAGCTTCGTGAGGCGAGGGTGCACGTTCATGCAGATATCATGCGCAGGAGGAACCAAACTTTGAGAGCGTGGGGCACCGACCGCTTTGCAGGCCCAGATGCTTCGGAAACGGGGAGTATTTTGTCGAGAAGCCGAAACAGTATGGAACTAAGAGAAGACACTAATACCGAGATCGCCGCCAGCGTTAGTGTTGGCTCTAATGGTAACCGTGCGATACCTTAGGACAACAAAGATTGCGGCATGCTGCCAGGAATGTGGAAGCTTAAGAAATCACGTTCAACTTGAACATTTTAAAACTACCATCATGACACTTACCAGAATGTATGTAATTTAACTCCAAATGTAAAGCAACGCAACTTATCTTAAGCTATGCGATGAAAGAAGAGGAGCAGGTTCGTGCAGTAGCGCATGCGCAGGAGAAATAGAAGAATATGACATCAGCGTATCCTTTAAGCGTCGAATACGTCTTGGAATCGAGGATTGCTTTGTCGAATGCTTTTCAGAATATGATTGAGATTACAGGCCAACACATAGAACTACAAATTTACTTTCACAGCTAAACCGATGTTGGCATCGAAGTTCGCTGTAGCGACCATGACGTACTTCTAAGGATTATGATGACAGTATTCTGACAGAAGCGCATGCGCCTGCACCATATTGAAACTGAAAGAAAGAAATACAGTTTAAAGGAAGAATATCTCATATTATTAGTCTTTCGCATAAGTAAATCCAGTCACCCCACTGAACAGGATTTAGAATTGCGTAATGATTAGATGAACTAATTCTTTCTAGCCGCACTATGCCCCCTGGGGTCGACTCAGCCTCTAAAAGAAATGAGTACCAGGAATCTTCCTGGGGGTGAAGGTGGCCAGCGAGTAAGGCTGACTAACTTACCGCCATCTGTGAGCCAGTTATCTACAAAATGTGGGATCCTCGACGTCTCACAACCCTGTGGAACTCCACGGGCTGTTACAGGAATAACTTTACTTTTTTTTTACTAAGCTTAGATGAGGTGAAGCCTGCAGCGCCAGCGAAATAGTCGTGTAATAAATTGAGTATGAATTTTATATTTACCCGTCATTTGAATTGTGAGTATTTTCGATACAGAGAATATAATACATGGAAGAGGAATCAGATATCTTCAACATGAATGGTAAAGTAGATAAAAACAAAAAAGAAACTCCGTAGTTTTAGTCGGCAAGCGAACTATACCGATCGAGCGACCACCGCTTGTCGGCGAAGTTAGTGCCAACTTTAGCGCATAGAGGGTGTCACGTGGTCAGCACAACGAATCCCCACGGCCGTTAATTTCGGGTTTCTAGACTGGAGCCGCTATTTCCTTGAAATAGCTCCTCAGTTATCATCACGAGTACTCATGGTGAGTGGTGTTTTCCCCCACTTTGCCCACTAGCGGTGTGGGATGAGACATTTTTCACCGTCAGCTGTCATCCTCAGGACTCAGTAGTGGAATGCCTAAACGTATTACGAAATGCTGAGACGAGAAGTTGAGGCGTCCAAAGGAAAGGGTAGAGAGATCAGTTGTATGTACGTGCAACAGGTAGTACTGCCTGAAGCGTGAAAGAAGAAAATAATAAAGAATGTCGTCTTCTGGGGTGTGGTGTCGTGTAGATTTTGTTCATGCCGGCGTTTCGGAGGAACGTATCGCCTCCATCTTCAGGGTAGAAAAATTCTCGACCGAGGAACCAGCGTGAGCAGGTAGCTTAGTCTGCATCCACCTGCTTACGCCGTTTCCTCACTCGCGGAATTTTCTACTCTGAAGATAGAGGCAATATTTTCCTCCGAAACGTCGGTTCACACAAGATCTACACGGCGCCACATCCCAGAAAACGGTATTCCTCGCCTTGAAAACCTCAAATCTTACAAGAAAATACTTTCAAATATTTGAGGTACGTTAACTTTTAATTAATTATAGATTTTCATTTGTTTCAGGCGTCCATGGATCTTCCTCCAGACAAAGCGAAACTTCTTAAGCAATACGATGACGAGAAGAAGTGGGATATTATCTGTGATCAGGTGAGTGAATCTTATCATTTCTTTCCCTGACAGATGTTGGCTTACTTCACCATATGACTTGTAAGATGCTTGTACGGTTATTACAGCGAAAAGCTTGGGGAAAATAAGTTACGACGACTTGAAATGTTAATAATTAAATTATTTACGTGTAATGATCGATTCCGGTTTATCATTTCCATTTGAACACAGTCCCAAATGTTCAGTTTGACAGATAACGAGAAAACACCCACGTGCCTCGTGCTGAATTATTGGCATTCACGTAGCAAATTAGTTCATGTAGAAGGTATGGGTTTGTATATACGTTCATTATGTAAGTCGAAATTTCACATATTGGCAGGTTCTTATGCTCTAGTTATGCTGTCAAACCAAACCCTAAATATCTCCATGTCACTGTTCTACATTATGTGCAAAAGAGACCTGAACAGAATTTTAATATTTTTTAGAGATCTTTTACCATGCCAGAATTCTGGTCCATATATTAAATAGAGGTGGTATAGTTCACATCTCATAGTTACGAAACACAAAGGTGCCTCTAGTCCCATGGTGTTCATGCCAAGTTTCATGAAAATCTGTCAGGTTATTGCGATGTTGGGGAGAACGCATACTGACAGGTAAATGGTTGTGTAACATGTTCCTATCAACCATTATGCAATAGGGAAATAAGTGAAAAATGCAGACTTGTTATTTTCTTAACCACTACAAAACGCTTCAGAGAATTGTTTCTCTGCTTCTAGATTACTTTTATAGTATCGGACTATTACATATCGAATCTTATCTAAATTGATAGCCTTCTTTTAAAAAGCGGAATTAAAATACTCGCAGGTATATAGGGGTGAAATTAAGTAGTGTAGTGGTGTTAAAATGGCACCTAAATTAAATTATTCAGGTAGTTCGTTTCATGTATCGTCTGTATGCCGTATTTACAAAAGACACTGAATTATTCCCCTATTATTGCCATACGTGTCGCAACTAATCCAATTCCTTTTCTCCGTGTACATACGGGGTAAACAGTTTCTGATGTGAATAATCGAGATTTTCGAACCTTTAACTGTGGTAAAAGGTGAAGCTATCCCTGTAACAGGCCGTGAAGGCCCATAGGGGTGTGAGAAGTCGAGGCTGCCACATTTTCTCTAGACAGTCGGCTCATAGACGGCGGCGAGGTTGTCAGCCTTACGCGCCGGCAACCTTTTACCCCACAGGAAAATTCTTGGTACTGATTTCTGTTAAGAGGCTGAGTCGACCCCAGGGCCATAGTGCGTCTGAAAGGATTAGGTCAGTTCAAAAAAATCCAATGGCCTCATCAGGATTCTATCCGGTGACCTCCCGTCTTGTCGCACAGTGCCTCAACCAACTACGCTAACACGTACCAACCTCATTATTTTTATTAAACTATTTATTTAGTGATTCGTTGGTAGCAGGACACTTGTATCCGTTCCTTAAAATACCAAATACGCTTTTCACGTCGATATGGCCATGGTGGGTTTTATAAGAGACTCATTAGTCTTTTTTGTGGTTGGAATGTGGCCAAATACACGTACGTGGATATTTATGTGAGCGATATCGCTTCAACCGGATTTAATCCAATGTTACAGCCAATAAAGCGGCCTCCGTAGTCTAGAGGTAACGTTCCCACCTCATGACTCGTGGTACGCGGGTTCAAACCCGGCGGAGGTCGTCGAATTTTTAAGGGCGGAAAAATTCAGGGAACAAGTCCTCCGGGAAGGACTTTAAGCCGTGGGTCCCGTGTCGTAGCTTTACGGCACGTAAAAGAACCTCATATCTCCAAAGGAGGTCACTGAGCCAAATTCAAGGGCGTTTCCCGCCCAACAGTAGTCTCTAACGCCTCTGAGAGATGGGGGAAGCATTATAGATACCGCCAAGCCAGTAGAGGCCGAACTCACTGGCTCGGTCGGGACTGATGGTACGCACCGATATCGGTAGGGTATAGAGACTGGTAGAATATCATAGGGGTAAGCACAATGGACCAATACTGGTCTAAGTGCATGGGGAAACCCACCCTCTCCAATAACTAAATAACTCACTACAGCCGATAATGTACATCATGAAGATGCACGAAGTGTTTGAAGTCATAATTGCAATCATTATCATTGCCGAAAAAGATTGGACCATCAGTATTGTAACTTTTTAGGGGTGTAACTATAAGACGGGATTTGGATTTATTGCAATTATACTCTTAATTACAAGAAATACACGGCTAACGCTGTTCTCCACACTTTACAGTTCACTGCTGCAGACACTAGTGTCCACAGTCTATTTTCTCTCAACGAATTTTAACACACGATATGTAACAGTCTCACTGATTTTTTTTTTTCCTTTTGGATCTACAGCGCCAGTTTGGGCCTTGACCTACTCCATAAAACTCCCCGTTTCATTTTGGTTTACTAGATTTTAGACATACAATAGGACGCCTTGGGCCGGTACGATATGTAACAGTCTCACTGATCCTGTACACAAACACAGAAAGACGCACACAAACAAACAAACAAACAAACAAACACTAAACATCCATGCCCTGAGTGGGATTCGAACCCACAATCCCGGCTTCCGAGCGAGCGAAGACAGTACATGCCTTAGACCGCTCGACTACCGGGACCGGCCTCACTGAATTAGGCACTCCACATATCGCGGTACTGTAGCGCACAGTCTTTCTTCACAGCCAGTCTTTCAACTCCACTGAATTACATTCAGTAATTCTGATGCCTCAGTTCAGCTCATCTGCCAGACTGGCGTCTCGAAACTCAAGTAACTCTCAGTTGCCATCTCTTCCCAATCATCTTCGACTGCCGTCTCAAGAGACCGCCTCAATTATTCTTTCAACCAGAGTCAAAGTAAAATATCTAGGTGTAATATTCTGTAAGACGATTACATGGTGACTGCACATCGAAATGTTTGAAGCCAAGGCCTTCAGAACCTTTATTAGATTCTGCTCCCAATTCAAACAGAGCTTTTAAGCTCCAACATTAAACTAACCCTCCGTAAGGTACTGATATGATCAGATAAGTAATGACTTATCCTTGTCCTGCCTGGGAATTAATGGCAGACACCTGCTCCTTAAACTTGCAGCGCCTGCAAAACAAGGTACTCCACACCACTGGAAATTTTCCAAGGTGCACACCGGCACGAGATTTGCACACGGCTTTCAACCTTCCGTAGGTATATGATTGTATAACAAAAATGCGCAGGCGACAAGCAGAAGTGATACAGGATCATGAGAATAAACATGTTCGTGGTACAGGACAAGGCGAAGCCAGACGTAAAATGTATAAGAGGCTTGAACTTGGCCGCGTTCAAGCTTATGACCGTTCAAGTGACTAAGCTTCCGTTGTAGCATAAGATACGTAAGGTAAGCATGATCTGCTTTGCAAAGCCTGTACTGACAGAGGACTTACATGTAGTGGAAAAGGAAGAAATTTCAATAACATGCTATATGCGCGATATGTACACTTGACGAAAGGCTAAAAGCATATTCATAAGAGAAGAACCCATCTTCTCGTCAGAGAGGATGTTACATAAGGACTTTTACCTCAAGAGTTCAGTTGAAGAAAAATCTGGTCGTTGGTGTCAGGGGGCTTGAAACCAAGACTGATTGGCGGTAAATTGCCAGTCTTAAAGTAACTATGACTGTTCTTTCAGCTGGCCTCGGATCCTCAGTGTATAGCATCTTGGCGGACCCAACAGAACACACCGTTTCCATCGTTATAGCCCAACAATACTTCGGTTGTTGGTTACGTATTCGTTGCCGCGGGAACATGTTTTCAGAGCCGTTGCCTATAAATAAATGTATACTCTGGCTCCACTATTCTTGCTTTCTTGCTTTCAGGTGTCATGTCACAGTATTTTTAGTGCAATATTGGGCCCATACGGAATCTAAGACGCGCAGTGCCGCTGGTATAATCAAGGAACCGCCTTGAAGCAAATCGTTAGCTGTTATTCAGATAATGGAAATGCTTGCTAAGTTATGATTGTCGTAAGGGCATGAAACAATTTGATACTGAGGGACAGTGGCCTCTGTAGGCGAACCGTATGTTTGCGGTCATTGGGTATAGCAGTTAATCTTCCCAAGTGTTCTGTAGTTGGTTGCATTCCTCACGAGGCAGTAGCGAGATTGCGGCTTTCTTCACGTGGCGCTGGTATGACACTGATGTTTCCGTTTCATGCATTCTTCTCACGAACTGTGTAAAACAAACGCACAGTGATGTGACGTCTGCATGTTTCATCTCGCAACCATTTATGGGTTTCGATTAGTTTGATAAGAGATTATGCAATGTGCCTAAACATAATTGGGCTCAGAATCGTCCGGTGCTCTAGAAAGTAGAAAATACATCGTTTCGGAAACAGATCCAGTTTCTGAAACGATGTGTTTTCTAGTATCTAGAATACCGGACGATGGCCCAAGTCCCCAAAACCCAGCAATTCTGTTATACACCATCATCAGAACCCTTTAGGTATAATTAAGCTGCCTTTATATCAGTTCCGTGTAACCCTTAATACTTTCCATGGAGTTCAGATCGAAGTCTATACCTTCTTAAAAAGGTAAGGTAAAGTTGTCCCTGTGCTTAACAGATAAAGCACTACGCCATGAAGGCGTATGGGGGAGTGGAAGTATAGATCCACATTCTCTTGACCTCGGCACTAGGTTGAAGTGAGTGGTGAGCTTCAGACCCCGGCCGCCTTACCCCCCGAGAAAGAGTCCCCAGTACCTATTGGGTGGACCCCAGAGCCGGTCCGGACGACTTGGAGGAGAGACAATTCTTGACCCTACCGGAGCTCGAACTCCAAACCCTCGGTGGTCCAGCCCGTAGCCAGTCGCTATATCGACCGCGTGTCCCCGGCTACTTCCCCATGCCTTCTTTGTGATGTTCTATATAGGCCTTCATATCGCTTAATGCGAATAGAAATCTTGTCATTACAAAGCTAATCGCAGAACACAGAGTCAGAAATTTTTGTTCCTTTGTGTTTTGTCAGATATTCATAGCCCA